TAATTATTAATATGTATTTTTTGTAATTCATGTTTTAATAACTAAAGCAAGGTGCCTGTAGTTTCAAAAAAATTATTTAATTTTATTGATAAGAACAAATGCTTTGATATCCCAAATGAGACTGTTATTGTGAATGACGATACATTGAAGCTGCAGAAGAAAGTTGATATCGTAAATGAGAGTTTTTCTATGGATTACAATATTTGAAAGCTGCAAGAGATACTGACATTGTACAGATATAAAAAGAACATTTGGATTATATTTTCCATGAAGAATTGGTTGTTATAAAATTGTTACAACGTAAAAACGTTAGAAAACTATTGATTTTATTGTATTAATTAAAATTAACAATGATTATACAGTTGAATAAAAGCGAATCTTAATGAAATAATATAATGTAATTTTAAAACCAGACTATAATTATAGCCGTCGATTTTTATCTCAATATCCAATATTAATATCTTGACATTGAAATAATGTAATGTAATTTTAATTCTAAACTAAACTTATTTCCATTGATTTTGTATCTCACATATTGCTTCTAAATATGTCAATGGACTTGACATATATGGTACATATATATATGGAACAATACTGTTGTATTGTATTTTTAAGTTTTAGGTTATTTTTACTTATTGTAAAACATGATTTCATGTGCATATTATAAGATAGTATTTTAGAATATTTCTATTTTATCTTAAAAATTTGAATACAAAATCAATTGCACTTTTCTATTAAGCTATTTTATTGCGCATTTAAAAGATCAAATAAAAAAAATTGACCGATTGTTAAATAAAATTTAGATTGCTTCAACAGTAAAATTTAATTACCGATTACAGACAGGATATAATAAAAATTCAATCAAGTTTATATCAATGATTTCAGTTTGTGACAATTGCACAAAACATATCACAAATTTAGTTTTTATTAATTTCGTACTATACTGAATTGTTGGCTTAAGTTGTCTATCTCGCTAAACAATAAATTTCATATACATTGTAGGGTTAAATGTGAAGATGGGTTCCACTGATATCCCAAATGCATTAACAAAAACCCGATAACTGCGTTAAAGTGTTAACCAAAGTTAAAAGAGCTTTCCTAAAAGTAATTCTGATAATGACTCCGAAACCAGTAAAAACTTTTTACTAAAATAACTCACCTTTGAAATTTTTTTATTTTATTTTGATTCTTAATTTAATTTTTTCTACGTTTTCACTTTGTACTTTTTTCTTGGTCACATACGTGTTTTATAATTAATTTCAGTATCCTGTAGATATTCTAGTTGTTGCCAGATGTTGAATTCTTTGAATAACGAAGCACAACATAACAACAACAACAACAACAGCATCAGCAGAAGCAGCAACAACAAAAACTTGACGACAGATAAACTGTTTTTAATTACTGTGACTTTTTTGTCTGCACAAAAATGTAACATTCCGTCCATGAATTGCGCGGCAAGGACTTTTAACCTTCATTCTGATTTAGTTTGGTGTAATTTAATTGAGTGTATATCCCGAAGTTAATGTGGCAATAAACGAAAGTAGTAACACATGCGTTTTTCAATGAATGCCTTACAAAGTCTTCATGTTAACGCTTCGAGGGACAACGAATTATTTCACGATTCTCAAGTAATAAACCTGAGCTTTTCCCATAAAATGGTAACAGATGTGTGCATATTTTATTTAAAAAATGTTTTTTTTTTAAAAAAAAAGAAAATTGCATTGAAAACTGTGTTCATTAACAAATAAGCAAATTGTATTCTTTATAATTTATTTATATAATTAAAGGATTTACCGGAATAGTAAAAGATAAAAGATATATATATTCACCCGAGTGACTAGTGGAGTAACATTAGCATGACTTTCTCAGTAATACGTTCGTAGATTAGATTCTATACATTAGAAGGAGTATATAAATCATGCAACAAATAATGCCACTACAAACAGAATAGTATTGAAATTTAACAATTAAAATTAAAAAAATTAAATTAATTAATTAAATTATTCTACAGCTGGTTTAAAATTTCCATCTAATATAAACACAGCAAGTGAATTTGTTGTTAAAAACTTTCGCAGCAAAGTAACAAAACTCCAGAAAAATGTGCGAACATAAAAAATCAAGTACGGCTTTGGGTCAGTTGGTTAAGGTGCGCTGACTCTGAGCTTTAAATTTGGCAGGACATGAGTTCGATTCCTGGTATTTGCAGTCTCAAAAAATTTTTTTATGAATAATTAAATACAAGAATTATTTCCAAAACCACTGATGATTGGTATTTGGCAATACTCGAAACAATTGTATAGTCAACCAAAAATTCAATTAATTAAAATAACATAAAATAATTTTTTGTATTTGTAGTTCAATACTATTCGAAAAACCTCTATATAAAATGTATATATTTAGTATGGATTTAGCTAGAATGAAATTTTGATTGATTATTTTTGAAATAGTGATATTTATTTATTTAGTATTGCAAGTTTTAGTTGTGCAGTGAAATGAAATTTATAATATAACTCTTTTGAAGGGTAAGACGTGTTGAATATAAATGTAATTTGAAATAAATATATTAACTATGCTTGATCTAATTTTCCATACAAGTTTTATAGGCCACCAAAGGTATGACCTTTAGTTCACGGAGCGAATTCTCTTTTATGGCTTCTATGATCTCAAAACGAGTTCCTGGCAATGGCAATTTGAGTCGGGGGAACAGAAAAAAGTCACACGGGGCCATAACTGGAGAGTACGGTGCTTGGTTGATGATATTGGTGGAATTTTTGGCCCAAAACTGCGACACAACCAACGCTGTGTGAGCCGGTGCGTTATCGTGGTGTAAAATCCATGAGTTTTTCTTCCATAAATCTGGCCTCTTTTTGCGAATGGCCTCACGTAAATGACGCATAACGGCCAAATAATATTCCTTATTGATCGTTTGACCATACGGAAGAAATTCATAGTGCACCATATAGTGCATATCGAAGAAAACACCGACTTTGGCGTTCTCTTTTCGGTTTCGGCTCACCTTCAAAGCACCATTCGGTCGATTGTTGTTTGGTGGGCATGTAAAATTCATAGACCCATGTCTCATCAACAGTTATAATGCGTTCGATGAATGTGGGGTCATTATCTGCGTTGGAAATCATCTCTTTGGCAACATCACAACGACGCTTTTTTTGAATGAAATCCAGCTTTTTTTGCCACCAGCCGAGAAGCGTCGCGTTTCAAACCCAAAACATCAGTTAAAATGTGTTCGACCGATCCATATGAGATGCCCAACAACTCTGCAATCTCTCTAATCGGTTCACAACGATTTTCCAACACGATCTGTTTCGCCGATTCAATGTTTTCTTCAGTAACAGATGTTGTTGTGCTGCCAGGGATCTCATCATGGTCCAACCGTCTTTGAACCTTTTAAACCATTCATATACTCGTGGTTGCAACACACACAAATCATGAAAGGCCTTTTTTAACATTTTCAACGTTTCGGCAGACTTGAATCTATTTGCAACACAAAATTTGATGCACGCACGTTGTTCTAATTTTTGATCCATTATAAAAATCGTCACACCTAAATTTTTTGACTTCTTTGTATAGATACCAAAAAAAAACTAATCTACGATATGCGTTAAACTTTGACAGAATGTGTATAATAGTGTTGTGTGTCAGCGTGAAAATAAAAAAATTTACCGATTGGATAAGCGGGAATTCAAAAATTGAAATAAAAAATCGCTACATCGAGTAAATAAAAACAAATAATTTCTTATAACGATCTAATGTTAAAAGACACCATACCTCGGTCATATTTTAAGAAAACAAAAATATCAATTGCGTCAGCGTATTTAGAAATTAATTATGAAGAAGTATTTAATAGAAACAGTTAATTAAATTGTTAACAAAACAATATATTCTGATATGTGTGCAAATGTATACTCTCGTGTTTGCTTAATAATAAATTGTAGACATATGTATATATCACTATTGTATATTTTTTGTATGATTGTTAACCCTGGAATTATAATGCAAATATTGAAGAAGTAGAATGTATAATTACTATAGATAGATATTTATAAATATATATTATAATTAATATCAAAATATTTCAATATATTTCTTCAAATATATATATATATATATATATAAATTTAAATATATAAATATATAAATTTAAAATAAAATCCTTTCAAAGATTCGATAAAATCAAAACTTAGGTTGGGTTAGGTTATATTAGCGATCACTAGGGGGATTGACCCATTGTATTGTCATATAGCGAAGAAACTCAGGGTTTAAAACCATCTAGAACCTTTTGCGAAGCTTAGAATGCTGTTTAGTGGGAGGTTTTATAATTGATCAAGATCCTCAAGAAAAGGGGACCTCGAAAATGTTCAAAATTTAGTTTTTTTATATTATGTTTCAAAAAAAAACTTATTCGTTTTATTTCAATTTAGTACCATAAACTCTATTCATATGAAACCATTAAATCAGAATATACAGTGTGTAGTTGGCATGTCTTCTTCTGATATGTCCATTATACAGTGTACAGTGTATAGTATTTTCCACGTTAAAAATATCATAAATATGAAATTAAAAATTTAACAATATTTAAATTAAGTTAGAAGATAAAAATATGTTAAGAAACTTAGGAAGATATATGGTATGTTTGATATATAAAAAAATTAATGTAAGTTAAAATTATTATATATGATACAAAAGTAACTATTTTGATTGATTTTGTTTCATACATAATCCTTTAATTATATACATGCATATTTAAAAGTCTATTAGATATATATTAAGTATACTAAAAAAGTTTTTCAGTGTATAAAATTTTATTAATTTTAATTAACATAAAAATTAATTTCGTACACACAACTAAAATATGTGTATTGTAATATATTTTTATACAATTGATTTAAATATATATTTAAATTAAGAAAAAAATTTGATATTCACAAACCGTATTTTTTATTAAAATATAATAAATACCATAATTTATTATCTCTTTTCAGCATCCGATTCAAATCCGCTTTAAATACATTTTTTGCAATTTCTACAATGTTTTAATTTAATAATTTTATTAATTTTTTTAAATTAATTAAAATTGGTGCACAACAATTTAATTTAATTAAGGTGTGAGTGGATGAAAAACATTACAAATATGATATTGCAAAAATATCGTTTTAAGGCCGCTGCCGTGAGTTATGTTAATTACGGAGTATTAATTATAACGGCCCTTTTAGTGTTAATAAGTGCACATGCCAAAAGTGCACAAATCAACGACAATAGATTTAAAATTGACCAGAGAACTAATGTTACCATGACAGCAACAATGTCGCCAACCCATAATGTGCCAACTGCAACAAGCGTTACTAAATTAGCATCGACGCAGCAAGTAACACATCAAGAAAATGTTGCCACTTCCAATGCTGTTATCGCTGAAACACAAACGGTGTTTAATGGATTTGTGCAACAGTCAGAAGAAGATAGGCAGCCGCTGCAGGCACAACAGCAAGAAAAATATTTTGACAATAAGCTACAACAGCAGCAGCAACACCGGCAACAACAACAGCAGCAACATCATCATCACCACAGACATCGCAATCAACGTCAACATAAACAACGTGCACATAATACATTACTGCCACCAAAGCATCATAGGCACCACCACAGTCGTAATATGTTGCTAATGTCGTCATATGAATCCTCTACTAAGCGTCCGTACCATAGCAAATTCACAATTGAGGAGCTTTTAAATACAAAATTTGAGAAAAAAATATCCAATGACATAGACATGGATCCATGCAAAGCAGGTGAGCTCCGAAATGCTTTTAAATAAATTTTATATTTTTAGCAAAACTGAGATTAAACATGAGCAAAAAATAATTAAAAAAGTTTGAAACATGAGTTTTGTTAAATTGCGATTTAAACAAATTATTTAAAATAGTTTCAAAAGTGTTTATTAAAAGGATTTACACGAAAATTATTTTTATATATATTGTACAAATATTTAACCACCAAAATGAAATTTGTTATGAAGGTAAATTGACTAAATCATGCGGTTAAAATAAATAGAAAACAATTTATTGATGATTTATTTGGATTAATATTTATTATGATTTAAATTTGTAAAACATATAAAGAATTTGATAATTGTTTGAAACTTATGGTAAATGGCATTTAATGGTATTTATATAGTAGTCATAATATTCTCATTTTTATTAAAAGTTTTATTATAAAAAAAAGGATGGACATTTCGAAATAAAATCCACAGAAAAATTTTAAAATTTTTGTTAAATTACGGTCTAAATATATTATTTTGTGATATGACAGATATAATCACAATTATAGGCTCCGTTCTAACCGATTTTATACATAATCACATTTGCAAAGTTAGTTGAATAATCCCACAGAAGGAGTTTTTACCATTTTTGTTGAATATATTATTTTATGGTATGACTGTTAGATAAAACAACATAGAAATTAGGGTTTAAACAAATTATTTTATGATATGACTGTTAGATGTCATCACATGTATAGACTCCGTTCCAGCCGACTTTATATATGTGTAATTACACTTTATTCTGACTTTATACATAGGTTAATTACTCTCACAGGATGATAAAAAATTACCAAGGTGGTTTTTAAAATTTGTTATTTCTCACTAAAAGTTATATAGACAAGTTATATAGACAAGTTATATAATCTAACACACTCCGTGTTAGATTAACAACACTAATACTCGTATCCCCTATAGAAAAATAATAAATTGTATTTATATTCTTTTTTTCGGATTAAAATTTTGTTACAAATTATAAAATCAATATATCAGTATAAAATCAATTCAAAATATTCTTAACTAACATTTATTATATATAGTACCCCGATAGATTTGCACTTTTAGTAGAAATATTTGAATTTTCAATGAAAAATAATTTACCATTTAATTCCTTGTCGGTGATGCTATAGTAGAACATTTGAGGTTTTACTATAATATTATACGAATTATAACATATTTATTGATAAAACTAAAATGGATGTTAGATCATACAATTAGAGTCCTTTTTCATTTATTGGACTGTTAAAATGAATAAAGTTGGAAGACAGTTTATTATATTATTTTCCGTTAAAAAAGAAATACTCTTAACGTTGTTAGAACTGGTTAATATACTGAAATATTTGAAAGTGGATCTGCAAATATCAGACAACATGTATTACAATACAGTAACAGTAGTACGACTTAGCACTCCTTGGTAGGCAATTTAAGCTTATGATATTATTTGCATTATTAATATATTATTAGTCGTACTCCATCAGGATCAAAGCATTGTTATTAAGAATCTCCAACTATTTCTATCTCTAGTAATATAACATAATTCGTTTAAAGATTTGTCGGTTTAATTTGTCATCGTTCTTCTCTAGGTATTACGTCTTTTGCCTTGGGGTTTCATTGAAGTGTTGCGTGGCATATTTTGTCGTAGGACTTATGAAGAATGTGGACAAGTCAATTATATTTCTGAAGCTTGATTTGTTTGCTGATATCTTCTTGATATGATATGGTATGATAATTTTTAGCCTCAGGAAAATTACTTAATGAATAATTAAAAATTTTTACTAATTTTCCTATAAAGTTAAAAAAATTCATACATTTTTCAATTTTAGATTTTAAACATTATATTTGAACTAAATTTATGAACTGCTCATGTTAACAAAACAGTTGCAGTAATAAGATATAGAAAACAAAATATTTTTAATTTATTACTGTGGTATTGTTTCTAAAAAAATGTGGATATCTAATATAAAATGCAAATTTTGGAATCGTGAATTGAAAACTGATTATACATAATACATTAAATCTAGTGAAAAAAAATGTAAAATACGGGGAGTAAGAGAAGATCTACCTTACCGATGGATGTAATTACTAATAGTTAGCTTTACAATAAAATGCCCTTCTTTGAAAGTTCTGTTTACTGCAAAATGCCTTAATAGTTTACATATCATTTGTTTTCTTAAATCATTTCATTACCTCTAATAGTCATGTTGATCAAGCTTTATTAAGAAGAAATTAACTGCTAAATACGAATTAATTTAAAGATTTTCTAACTATAAACGACTTCCATTATAATATACTTTATGTTATGTGAGTAAAGTAAATGTAGTAGATAAAGGATTTAAAAATACTAATAACCGATCAATATTGCATTTTTATTAATGAGTTGAATCTTTTAATAAATAAGTATTTTCAGCACAAAGGAATCTTTTTCCATTAATAAAAATGCAGTTGTACTAAAGAACTTTTAAAACAATATTTTTTCTGCACGTTATTTTTATTATTTTCATTATATTTCCGTAGAAGTGCTCTTGTTTGATAGAAATTGAGTAAAATCGAGAAAAAATAGGTTATAAGTTAAAAACAAGGCAGAACTTATTGAAAGGCGTTAGTAAGCAGGTCAAATCATAATTTTTCACTTCTATACCCATTTAAGAGGTTGAGCTACCGCTTGTTAATCCGATTTGCTTAGGGATGATTCAATGAAAGTTGCAGATAAAAAGTATTAAAAAAAAATTAAAGGGATGCAAAAGCATCAGTATTGACTAGACTATGACGGAAGTGCGGAAACTATGCCATGTAGCAAGCGGTAGTAAACGAAGAATCTTGTAAAGTTAAGTGCAGTTTAAAGTGAAATGGGTGTAAATTTAATAAAACATATTTGCACTTCATAAAAGCATAACTGCTGGTGTAGCAGGATACTCCGCGCACCTAGCACACGCTTCACTTGCTCGTAGCAATATTATTTTCATCGAAGTGTGGGTGGTGCGTTCAATTGGATTTACCTTCATAAGAATTTAAATTTGTTCAATATCGACTATATAAATCATTTTACTCTAAGCAATTTTCATTGTGTATGTTTGTCGTTGATATGATATGGCATGATGTTGCTATCACAGAGCAGCTATTGATGATTATGATTTTATCATTGACAATGTGCATTGCCACGATGATAATGATGTGATGCTCACTTGACAACGAAAGTGTTGTGAAAAGTTAAGCAGAATTGGTTTCTTGCCAAATGGCAAATGTCTTATAATATTAAATTCAAATTTGATAGTAGCAGTAATTTTTATAGCTGTTATATCCAACCAATAACAAGCAACATTGCAACTAAAATAAAAAAGAAGAGTAACGAGTAGAAAAAAGTTATTTCAATAGAAATAAATTTAGTTGTTTTTGTTGTATAAATTAAACGATAACACTATCATCATTAGCATTGCATATAGTATCTGCAACAGTTGCAGTTTTATAATTTTTAGATTTTCCCAATTTTGCAATAACTTCATAAAATATTTTGTGTGCCATAGTATGCAGAATCATATGCACGCATTGTTCAACGATGTGCAACAAAATTTCCAATTTTTACATATAATTTATGGATTTTCAACACAGCCAGCAAAGTTCAGAACACCAAAATATTAGATGCAACTAAATAAAAAATTGCATTCAATAAAGCGTGTAGAGCTGAGGAGACGCCGAGCAGCGCAGTAATTTGTAATTATTTGCTTTTCATGTGAAATGCATTTTAGTTTGAACAAATTCTTAACGATTTTCTTCGAAATTAAAATTTAATGAATTTTCCTAAAAACAAGTTGCAAACGTTTAATATTTTAAAATTTATCATCAGCAATTTTGTTTGTTAATGTAGCATGTTCATGCTGCTACTGCTCCAGTTGTTGATGCTGCCGTCGATACTGCGGCATCAATTTTAAAAGTATTGCGTAAATAAAAATATTTAATTTTCGACTACGTACTAAGTATATTTTAGCGAAACTAATGGAGCATATATGTATTTGGTTTCTACACCAATTTCCGTTAAGCACCAATTTATTTTTATAGTAAATTATTAAAAATTATTTAAATTTTTGTTATTTAAAAAAAAAAAACTATTGATTATATTTGTATTATTTCTTAAATATATGAATATGATTTTAAATACTATCATGTAGAATGATTCATCATCATTATCCGCTACTATACAGTTCATCCAGCCTGTTTAACAACAGTCTTCCATTCATCGAAATCCTGCTACATACTGTCTTTCCATCGCTTTCTTGGTCGCCTTCTTCTTCTACTGTTTCCTACTTCATTAAATCTTAAGCGGTACTCTAATATCCTTTTTCAATAATTTGTTGATTGTATCACCTCCAGCTAGCCGTTCTAGCTCGTGATTGTTTCTTATGTGATAATGAAGAATGATTCCTGATTCCTGATATCCATGAATCGTATACCATATATACATGAATCATACATGGTATATCCACTGTTTATGTTAGAAGTTCTAGAGTAGTGATATACCAAGGATATTGAAATGGAAATATTTGTATATATATATTTATATTATACAGCAGAGAACTCTCTAACTAACTTTCATAAATGTGGGAGGTGATAATTTAATTTTTTAAAATATGAAAAAATCATATAGAAGAGGAATGCCTATTTTCAATATTGAGACACTTTATAGTCTATCTAAAAATGTACTTAAAAAAAATTTGATCAAAAAACTTTTAATATCTCAATTGTTTGATTATTTCAAATAGGTAACACGCTCCTGTACTTAAATGCATTCGCAACTTATAATGATTCAAAGTTGACACTTTGTACAAGTTTTGGATTTTCATGGTAATTTTTGTATAATGCGGCAATAAATGTCTCATTAGAATTCCAAGGGATTTCGCCGGTACCAATAGGAGCTATACGTTTGAATATAGTTTTCTTTTTGGGAGATAGTTAAATTTTTCTAACACCTTTACTGTGTTTTAAGTTACAGTACCCGGTTGGAAAATGTAACTTCACATCGAATGACAGTAAATGAATACAGTCATTCAACCAATTGATATTAAGAACCTATTGATATTAAAAAAAAAAACAATTAAACGGTAGATGAAACGATAGATATTATGGGTCAACTACTAAAAATGATCTCCTTGGATGAAAAGACTCCAAACAAAACTATCAGGTTTCATTAATACAGGGATTATACGAAAATAGAGACATTATAATGAGTACAGGAAGTTAAATTTTGATAGCGCAATGGTTTTCCTAGTTGCTAGTGAAGCTTTTAACTACAAAATACGAGATTGTTGATGTATTCAATGCAGGTTCATATTCGTGTGTCTCGTGTTTCGACGGACTCAGAACAACAGATTATGGTAAAGGTTAAGGTATATACCAAATTTAAAATATATAAAAAAAAGTGATTGTTTTGCTAAATTATGTCAATACAATTTCGTTTCAACTAAAAAAATGCAACATTATGAAAAGTGGCTTTCTAAAAGGGGTTAATTTCTACATACCTATAATTAAATATTCATAATTTAACGTTTACTAAACAAATGAGTTGTAATATCGTATAAAATAATTGTAAAATATAAATAGAAACATATATGAGACAATAAATTGGTAATTATTATAACACTGAATATTAATTAAATTTTCATTGCACATTTAGTATACACTTGAAAAATTTCGATAAAACCTTATCATATGTATTATATTAATGTTATGTTTTATAAAACGTAAATGTTAACAAAGTTAACTTCATTTTTTGAGTTGTGCGGAATTCCTTAATTCCAGTGTGTGGTACTATTTCTACTAATTACCTGTCTTGTGTGAGAGTAGAAGCATCATCTGTCAACTTGAAGGATTGTCAGTGTAAAATTAACTAAATAGATTTTTCGCGCCAATCTTAAATGGTAGAGTTTGAAAACAAACTAACAAACCACAAATCGTCCGCATTACTTTGACAGGATAAAGGAGCAAAGCTATCAAAAGAAACTATGCTATATAATCGTCCCCAAAACACCCACCCACTTTATTTTGTTCATAATATGAAAATCATTACTAACATCATTAGTTGTGTTGGTGCAAATGATGATCATTATGAAGAATCGCTACGACAGACGAAACAAAACCACATCAAGTTTTGAAAATAATTTCCACTCAACATGCAACATTTCCTCATTGCAGGATTGTTTGCACACGTACATCACACATATTTAAAATATAAAATAAATCTTTATGGTGCAAAAATAGAAAAATCTACAAAACTATTCATATTTGATGTTGAACCAAAAGGGAAAGGGCCATCATAGTCGCTCTTCAAGCCGCCACAAATGATGGAATCAACAGCATCAACAACAGAGGAAGCAGCTAAAATAAACATCAAGCAGACAAAGAGGCGGGCGAATAGTTGTACTTTTGCAAATAGTTTTCGAGCGTTAGTTGTCACTGCGTTCATGTTTCTATTTGTGTTAAAAGTGAGATTTTATTTAACAATTTTATAAATTCATTCTGATTTTGTTTCTCTTTTTATATGCAGCAAATACCGTACTTGAATTTTAAAAGCATTTTTAACTATTATTATATGTATGAAACTGCAAATGGATGCAACAAAGCAAGGATGCTAGTCAGTTATTTCAGCTATGCTGTGTCGGAATATTGACTTTTTGAAATTTGCTTCATGTTCAACAACAAATTTCATGAACTAATTTAAAACAATGCAATTCATGTACTCGTATACACATATATGAGAACATATTCATGCACATACTTATTTATAATGGATCATGATGGACAAGTACCACGTGATTAATATGTTGAACTAATAAGCAAAGTTATGCAGCTTAGATATAAGCATTTTCCTTATTATTTATCTACAAGCTTGTTTTATTTATACATGTACACAAAAGACCATCATTGGTTAACATTTTCATCAAGAATTTAATTTTAACTTTACATAAGTAAAATATCAAATTATTGTTTTAAAATTCTTGATACATTTACATTTTATCTATTAACTTTTAATATGAAACATGTTTTGTCACATTGGTTTAAATACATAATGATTAATAATTCCAATTAATTAATTTAAAAGATGATCTTGTTATATTTTTTCTACATATTACCTTTAATAAAATTATATTGGCTTTTAAATTCCAATACACATATATGTATCTGTATGAATATTTAGGAATTCTAAATTGATGGAATAAACCCCATTCGTCTCTAATCATGTTTCGTTGTAAGCCCTTCAATTTATTACACAATAAGTAATTTTTTAACATTATTCAATAACACAAGATATTTTAATTTATAGTATTGATGTTTAATACACATCAAAAATATAAACTTAAACTTGAATATATAGCATTTAAACGTAAATATTTTATTATGTGTTTAGAATGTTTAAAAGATTTGATATAAGGCATATAAGAACATACTATGTTAATCACTGGGTAACTCTTCCTTGATTAAGTGGGGTGTATTAGTTATTTATTGATCCATTATTAATAATCGAACTGTTCCCACCGTTGTACCCCTAGTTGTTAGTTTGAAACAGTTAGTTGAAATCACCCCCTCAGTCTAGAACTAAATAGATTAAAATAGTAAAATATTCAGATTTTAACATTAACATTATGCACTTTCATGGCTATATTAAAAAAAATTCAGATAGAAATATAAAAATTTATAAGCGTGTACACTGATCAATGCAAGATTTTATTCTCAGTTTTATCAGTTGGAATATTCAATTTATTTAAACAGGAATTTTTGTTAGATTCTATTTCGTGAAATAGTTTTAGCTAAGTGGTCAAGTGATAAAGTACCTATACATCACTTAAAAACTTGTTTGTAAATTTTATTACTGTGGTGAAAGTTAAATCCTTTAGTTTTAAAATGGACATTATTGAAGGTTATACTATATTATCACAGTTCTTTATCGTCACTGTATTTGCTCAGAATCAATTCTTTAGATCAGTTAATCAGAGTGCTTTTTCCAATA